TGACCCGAGAACCCCAGCAGAAGACGGTTCTGTGCGTGCAGGTGGACCAAGAACTCCCGGAGGAGGAAGGAAAGTGGTCCAGGGCGGACGGCACCCGTCTCACCAACACTGAGAGTCTGGCGAAGATCAAGGACAAGCTACTACATCTGGAAGGGCAACAGAGCGCGGACCTGACGAATCTACTGAGGGAGTATGCCTCCCTCTTTACCGACGTGCCCCGACGACACAAGAGTGTAATGCACGAGGTAGAGGTGAGGGACGCCAGGCCCGTCAAGCAGAGCGCATATAGGGTGAGCCCGGAGAAACGAGAGCTGATGAAAAAGGAGGTGGAGTATCTCCTTGAGAACGACCTTGCGGAGCCCAGTAAAAGTGAGTGGAGTTCCCCATGCTTGTTGGTGAGGAAAAGCGACGGTACCTACTGCTTTTGTACAGATTACAGGAGGGTGAACTCCATCACAGTGGCAGATTCTCACCCCATGCCAAGAGTGAGCCATACGTGAGCCCCAGATTTCTCACCCCATGCCAAGAGTGAGCATTGACCAGGTGGGCAGTGCACGGTACGTATCCAAGGTCGATCTGCTCAAGGAGTACTACCAGATCTCTTTGACTCCTGAGGCCAGGAAAATATCAGCTTTCGCAACTCCTGACGGGCTGTACCAATACAAGGTGTTGCCCTTTGGAATGAAAAACAGTGGTAGCTGTTTCCAGCGCATGATGAATGAGTTGTTAAGGGGTGCCGCAGGCTGCACAGTTTACATCGATGACATCGTCGTGTACGCCGACGATTGGAAGACGCACCTGGAGAGACTCAGGGAATTGTTTAGAAGGCTAGAGGAGGCCAACCTGACTGTAAATTTGGCCAAGAGCGAGTTTGAGAAGGCTCACTTGGAGTACCTTGGTTTTGTCATCGGCCAAGGTGAAGTCACCCCTGTTGATCACAAAGTATCAGCCATTAAGGAATACCCCGTGCCCAGAACGCGTAAAGAGTTGCTAAGGTATCTCGGGATGATAGGGTACTATCGTGGGTTCTGCAGGAATTTCTCCACGGTAGCGCATTCCCTGACCGAGCTACTCTCCAAGAATGTACGATGGAGATGGGGAGAGGCCTGCCAAGAGTCTTTTGAAAAGACCAAGAAATTGTTGACGGAGGCCCCGGTATTAATATCCCCAGATTTCTCAGCCGGATTTGTCCTGTACGTAGACGCCAGCGACGTTGGGATAGGGGCCATGTTGGCTCAAGAGAGGAGTGGGGTACATAGGCCAGTAGCGTTCTACTCGAAGAAGTTTGTAAAATACCAGCGGGCCTATAGTACCGTTGAGAAAGAGGCATTGGCACTAGTTATGGCCCTGAAGCACTTTGATGTGTACATGGCAGGAGGGGCGAGACCTGTTCTGGTGTTCACAGATCACAACCCTCTCACCTTTTTGTACAAAATGAAGAACTCCAACCAACGTCTGACGAGGTGGGCGTTGTTACTACAAGAGTACCGGCTAGAAATCAAGCACATCAAGGGGAAGGACAACGTGGTTGCAGATGCCCTGTCCCGTATACACTAACCAGACATGACACTTATTTTAAGGGGAGGGGTATGTGACGGTGTTCCCCCCCTTATATTTCTCCCACGCCTGCAGTAAGAGTCATGTCCACTTTACCCGAGCGTTCTCTACGTCGCAGGCATCAATTTGATATATGTGGGAGAGTGGAGTGTTCTCGGAGTGCCGAGAAATTTATAAAACAATAGTATTTTGGCCTGTGGTTTAGGCCCTTTAGGACGCCAAGATGGCGCTGGCTCTCCTGTTTCCCCGCCAAAACTGTGTGACGTCAGTGACACCGGATTGGTCACCGACAGCAATGTGGCACTGGGAGCCAATGAAAACCTCTCGTGGCGAATGTGACGTCACGAAGGAAGGGGGGTCCGGTCAGCGCGCCGCGTTGGCGCCATCAGTCAGACACGACACGTCAAGGAGGTTGGACGTGCGAAGATTGGTCCTGTCAGTTTGGCAGTTGTTTCCCGCTCCCGTGGATTTTACGCGTCACCTGAAGTCTGCCAGTACTCTGTGAGGTCTTCCTTCGTTCATGTGTTGAACCAGAGAGGGAATCGACGGATATTCAGCAACAAGTGCTCCAGGACAGGTACTGTGCAAGAAGAAGTGAAGTCTGTGCAGTGACGTATGCGACGTCTGAGGCAGTTCACCCCTTCGTGATGGCGTAGTGGCTGAACAGAGCCACTGGGTAGCAGAGGAAGAAGAGAACTATTTGGGAACCCGAACGACTGCAGCCGAGAAGTAGGCGGGCAGCCGTAGCTGGGAGAAGTCGACGGCCGGGAGACCGACTCCGACCCTACAAGAAGTCGAGGAGGAGCACGGACCTGCGGGGATAAGGCACGGAGACCATGCGCTTACGGTGGGACATTGATTGAGATTCGTGGAGGACACGACAGCGTGTGTGTGGGGGCGTTCCCGACACGAGGCAGGAGCCAAGACCAGGAGCTACAACTCAACTCTCATCGGATGATAGTTGGAAGTAGGTGGTTCTAGTTTCCCTCGCAATTCCCCTTTAGTCAGTTATATTATTCAGCTATATTATTTAGCCTGAGGATTTTGTATGTCGTGAGCAAGGCTCACCTATGTCACAGTAAGGCACCAGTGTGCAGAGTGGTACTATCAAGAGTACTTACGATATTTATGTTTATTATGGGTGTATACTGGCGCCCGGAGTAATTGATTGATTTACTGTGTTGAGAATGTCTTTATTGAGACTTTAGTGTGATCATATAATGAGATAAAATATATATAATTATGCCAGTGTTGAAAGTTAGGCTATGTGCCCAGTAACTATGTTATTACCATTTATTGATGTCTGATTCATCTATATATATTATATATGTCTATGTTCGTGCATTGAATAATCATTCATGTGTGCAGTGATTAATTGTGTTATCGCCCACGAAAGGAAATACTGAGAACTCGTGTTAAATACTTCATAAGTTATCATTAAATGAAGGGCAGAGTGTAATACCATGACAGTGAAATATTGTCACATTTAATATAAAATGTTTGTTTGAGCCCAAGATCAGTGTAGCGAAGTAATACGTGCTATTGTCGCAAATATCGAGTGTTCAAACTTCTAGTGATTTTGAGAACTTAAAGAAACAGCGCGCGTGACGCCAGAGAAACAAGCAATAAACATTTGCGCGGGGGAAGGCGCCCAGCTGATTTTGACAGTGACGAGAGGGGGAGTGTTGCCGACTTAGCGAGTGTATATTATACGTGGGAACGAACGACTCCCGCCTGGATCAGCTGATTATTTATTGATATGACCTTGTGACATCTTTGAATGAGTTTTAAGTAAAATACAAAATACATCTGTGTTTATATCATCCCCTCCATTTATCTTGTGGCTATATAATACCTGAGAGCAGAGAGTGGTAGAAGTAAATACCTGCCTGATATCCTGATCTATTGAGTGTGTCCTTGCCACGGTTACCACAACTCAACAAATCCACTGACGTATTACTGGACACCGAAAACACCAGTTGGCGACCTTGTGGTTAATAGTAGAGCCCTATTGTTGGGGCGGGCACATAACAGTTAAGTGAACGAGTTGTGTTCCCACTCCTTCTCAATCAGAGGCCGGTTGGGATTGACTGGGATACTCTCCTGGCGTACAGTGGCGCCGCGAGGATAGAGTGAAGACCCGCAGGGCTACGGTGAGTGACCTTGAGTATACTGTTGCTTTTTCGAGAGAGTAAACCCCAACAATATATATATATATATATATATATATATATATATATATATATATATATATATATATATATATATATATATATATATATATATATATATATATATATATATATATATATATATATATATATATATATATATTGTGACGGTAAAGCGTTGGTGTTCGGCTGTTTCCAAAAGCTAGGGGCAGGGCCTCGTCACATAATCAAAAAAAAAAAAAGAGAAAAGTTGGTCCTTTCGTCTGTGGTAAGGTAATGGGAAGACACACAAAACACAAGTATATAAACAATGAAATTTTAATTACTCTAGAAAAACAATACATGAATAAAGTTAATCACATAAAATATGCAAGACAAGTCAACAAACAAAATAATATGAATAATCACTGGCAAATGAAAAGTTACGTTAAGACAAGTAAGTTACAGTGATAGCAAAATAAAATATAAGTGGTGTTGGAATACGGGCTTCGAGCTGCCACCTCCCTTAGTACACGAAAGCCAAGGCTTAGTCTACCAGCGAGAGATGTCAACTGCTTGGAGCACTGAGATATTCTGACGATACTGCCGCACTGCAGTCCAGACGTCGAATTGTGGTGGAGGCGGAGGGCAGGGGCGACGAGTCACCTGCCAATCAGCGACAGGCAGGCAGAGGATGAGCAGTTAGCTGGTTACGGCGGTGGTAGCAGGTGTCACTGTGTGCTGGGTACGATTTGCTCTCTGGGCAAAACGTTTGGCGATACTTGGTGGACGTATCTTCTATAGTATCTTGTATATTGACGTACTTATGTAGGGAAGAGCAGGCTCAATCTCTCTTGAAAGAGATTATCGTCACAATATATATATATATATATATATATATATATATATATATATATATATATGTATATATATATATATAATATTATATAAACTGAAAGATTCTTCCCCATTAATGATTCGAGCCTACCTCCTCTGTGTCCTCTCCTAACCGACCAGTGGACCCAAAACAAACAACAGGACAGTACGTCCCTTTCGCGAGCCGCTTCCATTTTCTAGTACGACAATTTTGGGTTTTATGTAATGCATACGAGCGAAATGCGACGTTCTTTCTAGGAGGACGAGTTGCTCCGATCATCAGGACATCACTATTTATTCATAGAGACCACTGTTTATGAAACCAATTTTCATAGGTAATGTGAGCATTTAGATTTTGAAGCTTTTAAAAAGCCACCCGAGATAGGCTTAGCTTCTGAGGAGGTTAATATCTTGCAGGAGGTTACGCCTATGTGGACAGCAGTTACCCCCGGCAACCTGGCGACTTGGCGTGGCTGGTGTCGGCGACTATGGCAGCTACCCAGGACCCTCTCTGCCTCCGCTTCTGGCTCAACATGCACGGTGCAGGCGTGGGAGACTTCAGGTACTGTAGTCCCTCACCTCAGCTACTTTAGGTACTGTAGACCCTCACCTGAGCTACTTTAGGTACTGTAGACCCCTCACCTGAGCTACTTTAGGTACTGTAGACCCTCACCTGAGCACCTTCTGGTAATATTCTCTATCACCTGAACACCTTTAGGTTCTGTTCTCCATCACTTGAACATCTTCAGGTACTGTTCTTCATCACCTGAACACCTTCAGGTTCTGTTCTCCTTCACCATAACACCTGGTACTGTTCTCCATCACCTGAACACCTTCAGGTACTGTTCTCCATCACCTGAACACCTTCAGGTACTGTTCTCTATCACCTGAACACCTTCTGGTACTGTTCTCTATCACTTGAACACCTTCTGGTACTGTTCTCTATCACCTGAACACCTTCTGGTACTGTTCTCCATCACCTGAACACCTTCAGGTACTGTTCTCTATCACCTGAACACCTTCTGGTACTGTTCTCCATCACCTGAACACCTTCAGGTACTGTTCTCTATCACCTGAACACCTTCTGGTACTGTTCTCCATCACTTGAACACCTTCAGGTACTGTTCTCCATCACCTGAACACCTTCTGGTACTGTTCTCTATCACTTGAACACCTTCTGGTACTGTTCTCTATCACCTGAACACCTTCTGGTACTGTTCTCCATCACTTGAACACCTTCTGGTACTGTTCTCCATCACTTGAACACCTTCAGGTACTGTTCTCCATCACCTGAACACCTTCTGGTACTGTTCTCTATCACTTGAACACCTTCTGGTACTGTTCTCTATCACCTGAACACCTTCTGGTACTGTTCTCCATCACCTGAACACCTTCAGGTACTGTTCTCTATCACCTGAACACCTTCAGGTACTGTTCTCTATCACCTGAACACCTTCTGGTACTGTTCTCTATCACTTGAACACCTTCTGGTACTGTTCTCTATCACCTGAACACCTTCTGGTACTGTTCTCCATCACCTGAACACCTTCAGGTACTGTTCTCTATCACCTGAACACCTTCTGGTACTGTTCTCCATCTCCTGAACACCTTCAGGTACTGTTCTCTATCACCTGAACACCTTCTGGTACTGTTCTCCATCACTTGAACACCTTCAGGTACTGTTCTCCATCACCTGAACACCTTCTGGTACTGTTCTCTATCACTTGAACACCTTCTGGTACTGTTCTCTATCACCTGAACACCTTCTGGTACTGTTCTCCATCACTTGAACACCTTCTGGTACTGTTCTCCATCACTTGAACACCTTCTGGTACTGTTCTCTATCACTTGAACACCTTCTGGTACTTTTCTCTATCACCTGAACACCTTCTGGTACTGTTCTCTATCACCTGAACACCTTCTGGTACTGTTCTCTATCACCTGAACACCTTCTGGTACTGTTCTCTATCACCTGAACACCTTCTGGTACTGTTCTCTATCACCTGAACACCTTCTGGTACTGTTCTCTATCACCTGAACACCTTCTGGTACTGTTCTCTATCACCTGAACACCTTCTGGTACTGTTCTCCATCACCTGAACACCTTCTGGTACTGTTCTCTATCACCTGAACACCTTCTGGTACTGTTCTCTATCACCTGAACACCTTCAGGAACTGTTCTTCATAACCTGAGCCGCTTCAGAAATTGTGCTCATGGTCACCTGAACAGCTTAAGGTATTGTGCTCATGGTCACCTGAGCAACGTCCTGTTCACCGTGACATTTCTCAGTCCTCTCCTTATAGTACAGACAAATTAGCATTTGAGGAAGACCTTCACAATAAGAAGCTGGGACCAGTTGAGAATTACCTGACGTGTTGCACCTGTGGTGGGAGGGAGTACCTGATTTGCTGCACCTGTAGTGGGAGGGAGTACCTGTTGTGCTGCTCCTGTGGTAGGTGGGAGTACCTGTTGTGCTGCACCTGTGGTGGGAGAGAGTACCTGATCTGCTGCACCTGTGGTGGGAGGGAGTACCTGTTGTGCTGCTCCTGTGGTAGGTGGGAGTACCTGTTGTGCTGCTCCTGTGGTAGGTGGGAGTACCTGTTGTGCTGCACCTGTGGTGGGAGGGAGTACCTGTTGTGCTACACCTGTGGTGGGAGGGAGTACCTGTTGTGCTGCTCCTGTGGTGGGAGGGAGTACCTGTTGTGCTGCACCTGTGGTAGGAGGGAGTACCTGATCTGCTGCACCTGTGGTGAGAGGGAGTACCTGTTATGCTGCACCTGTGGTGGGAGGGAGTACCTGTTGTGCTGCACCTGTGGTGGGAGGGAGTACCTGTTGTGCTGCACCTGTGGTGGGAGGGAGTACCTGTTTTGCTACACTTGTGGTGGGAGGCATGGACGAATTGGCGAAGTAGAGCATCCCCCTCCATCGCTGAGATGGATGACAGATAGATGATTGGCGGGTGAGGAGTGATAATCTCGCGACCCGGGCATGGTTTCCGGTTATCCCATCCCTTTTATTGTGTGATTGTGTGGTGTAGAGGATCCCCTACATTGGTGAGATGGTCAATGAGTTGGAACCCAATTCTTTGAGGTATCCCAAGGCACTCCTACCCCAGGGGCCATGTGTCTCAGACGCTATGGGAACAAAGGTGTATTGACCTGCCAGTCGCCTGTACCTGATTGATTTTGCTGTTTCCCTGTGGTTGGCCGCCCCACCTGTTTGATCAGCACCGAAGTGTATATAGGTGTCGGCCAGGGTGGATGCACAAGTGTAGTCCCACACCAACTGTTTGCCCCTCTTCCAAGGGTATATTGTGATGCCGTTTGGGCAAAGTGCGGGGTCAGTCGAGTTTTGGCCTCCTAGGATGCAAGGTTCTCTTTTCGCTGGGCACTAAGCTGAGACGAGGCTCCTCTTGATGATTTCATTGACCTCATTGTGTCTTGCATGCCAGCCCTTGGATTTTCTGCAGTGCAACCCATGCAGTCCATATTGGTTTGCTCCCATCCTGTTGCAAATACACTTGTATTCAGTGTAAATTGCGGCACCAAGGCGGAGGTCCACTGCTACTCGAAGGGATTCTGGATCTAGACGTGAGCCCAAGCTGACATGGGTACTGCCAGGAGGAAGTCTCCTGCATGTGGGGCACGCACTACTCCGAGGTGGGCTTTCTCTTTGTCTGATATTGCGGCTCTGAGCATGGACTCAGCTATTTTTTCCACTAGTGTGGAAAACAGTCCCAGCTGGAGTGTTTGTTATATATATATATATATATATATATATATATATATATATATATATATATATATATATATATATATATATATATATATATATATATATATATATATATATATATATCGACAAGTTCATGTCGACTAAGACGTTTTGCTCGATAGTACCCATGTAGAAGTTTGCAAACAGGACACCTAGGGGAGAACCCTAGGAACCCTAGGTGTCCTGGGACATGAACTTGAAACCTGCCATATACTGCAGGTATGTTGACGACATTTTTACACAGGTACCTGATGTCAGACATCTGCAGGAGCTGAAGGAGGCATTTGAGCAGAGTTCCGTGCTGCGTTTCACTTACGAGATGGAAAAGGATGGGAAGCTGCCCTTTCTAGATGTAACAGTCATGGAAAAGGGCGGAGGTTTCCACACTGCAGTCTACACTAAGGAAACAAACATAGGAATGTGCCTAAATGCCAACAGCGACTGCCCAGACAGGTACAAGAGGAGTGTTGTTAACGCATATGTCGACCGTGCTCTCAGCCACAGCTCAGAATGGAAGCAAGTCGACGAAGAACTCTGTAGGGTAAGGCAGGTCTTAGTCAATAACGGCTTCTCCAATGGTTTCGTCGAAGACATCATAAGAAGGAAAGTGAAAAGCCATGCAACCTCTGAAGAGACAACTAACACAACACCTATACCCCCTATTAGACTATTTTACAGGAACTTCTTTTCCACAGCTCATAAAACGGAGGAAAGGGTCCTGAAAGATATTGTTAATAGAAACGTTATCCCTACAGACAAAAATCAGAGGATACAACTGACGATTTACTATAAAACCAGAAAAACGGCCAGCCTACTCATGAGAAACTCTCCAGACACAAAACAGAACGCTTTAAAAGAGACTAACGTCGTCTATGCCTTCAAATGCCCTCTTGGGGACTGTAAGCTCCAAAAAACCCAGTATATAGGTAAGACAACAACATCTCTTTCTAGGCGTTTAACGATGCATAAGCAACAGGGCTCCATTAAGGAACATATAATCTCTTCCCACAACCAAACCATCGCCAGAGAAATCCTAGTAAACAACACAGAAATCATCGATAGATACAGCGATAGCAGGCGGCTTGATGTTTGCGAGGCACTACACATCAAGAAGTCAACACCAGTAATCAACAGCCAATTATTGCACAACTATATTCTACCCACCTCAAGACTCCGCTCCAATATAGAAGCATCAAGAAATAGGGACCAATAGGCTTTCTACAAACACTTCTATCCAATATCCATTGTTTCGTGTTCTGTCTTGTGTTGATGAAATTAATACCCTATTAATACTCTTGTTCTGTCTTGTGTTGATGAAATTAATACCCTATTAATACCACATCTTGTTCTGTCTTGTGTTAATGCCACATCACCCCTTCCACCTCACTCAAATGTAGATATAAAATCGGAGATGCGTAAGTTCTATTCAGTTGTGTATTTGTGAACTAAAGTCTTTGAAAATGTAATAAGTTTTACGAAACGCGCTCGTGTCGCGTCAGACTAGAAATAAAAATGAATTTTGGAGAATTGATTTTTGATTTACCTCCAACAGTAAAGCGAAATGTACGAAAGATTGAGAAAATTCGTGTCAGAATTATTAATCTTACTTTTTCGGTCATATTTAATAATATATGTCTACAGGAAAGACTGCTACCAAAATATACTAATATATATATATATATATATATATATGTCGTACCTAATAGCCAGAACGCACTTCTCAGCCTACTATGCAAGGCCCGATTTGCCTAATAAGCCAAGTTTTCATGAATTAATTGTTTTTCGACTACCTAACCTACCTAACCTAACCTAACCTAACTTTTTCGGCTACCTAACCAAACCTAACCTATAAAGATAGGTTAGGTTAGGTTAGGTAGGGTTGGTTAGGTTCGGTCATATATCTACGTTAATTTTAACTCCAATAAAAAAAAATGACCTCACACATAATGAAATGGGTAGCTTTATCATTTCATAAGAAAAAATTAGAAAAAATATATTAATTCAGGAAAACTTGGCTTATTAGGCAAATCGGGCCTTGAATAGTAGGCCAAAAAGTGAGTTCTGGCTACTAGGTACGACATATATATATATATATATATATATATATATATATATATATATATATATATATATATGTCGTACCTAGTAGCCAGAACGCACTTCTCAGCCTACTATGCAAGGCCCGATTTGCCTAATAAGCCAAGTTTTCATGAATTAATTGTTTTTCGACTACCTAACCTACCTAACATAACCTACCTACCTTTTTGGGCTACCTAACCAAACCTAACCTATAAAGATAGGTTAGGTTAGGTTAGGTAGGGTTGATTAGGTTTGGTCATATATCTACGTTAATTTTAACTCCAATAAAAAAAAATTGACCTCATGCATAATGAAATGGGTAGCTTTATCATTTCATAAGAAAAAAATTAGAGAAAATATATTAATTCAGGAAAACTTGGCTTATTAGGCAAATCGGGCCTTGCATAGTAGGCTGAGAAGTGCGTTCTGGCTACTAGGTACGACATATATATATATCGTACCTAGTAGCCAGAACTCACTTCTATGCCTACTATGCAAGGCCAGATTTGCCTAATAAGCCAAGTTTTCATGAATTAATTGTTTTTCGTCTACCTAACCTACCTAACCTAACCTAACCTAACTTTTTCGGCTACCTAACCAAACCTAACCTATAAAGATAGGTTAGGTTAGGTTATGTAGGGTTGGTTAGGTTCGGTCATATATCTACGTTAATTTTAACTCCAATAAAAAAAAAATTGACCTCATTCGTAATGTAATGGGTAGCTTTATCATTTCATAAGAAAAAAGTTAGAGAAAATATATTAATTCAGGAAAACTTGGCTTATTAGGCAAATCAGGCCTTGCATAGTAGGCCGAGAAGTGCGTTCTGGCTATTAGGTACGACATATATATATATATATATATATATATATATATATATATATATATATATATATATATATATATATATATATATATATATATATATATATATATATATATATATATATATATATATATATATATATATATATAATATTTATATATATATATATAATATGCAACAACGATCACAAAAACACTGATCCACGTATGCAGAAAAAATACATGTGATAAATAAAGAATGCTAAACGCGTTTTCGGCTTATTTCGCCTTCATCAGAGCAAAATAGAATGAAGAAGGAAACATGGTAGGCAAATCTTATACCCGCCAGGGCCTTTACTTATGGGTACAGTTCCGAAGTGTCCAGATAGGTTTATATAATCGTTCAAAACCCTTAAAAAGCATAACTCTCTTCACATCACAAAGGCTGGTAAGTCCAATGCTGCTGTCATCATGAACAATGTACAAAAAATGAAGCTGCTATTGGATGACAGAGACACTTACTTACCTGTTAATAAAGACCCTATTGAAAACGTTATTGCAGATTTTAACAAACACTTAAAACCTTGCTCAAGAACGATAAGGAGTTGATTCCTAAGTTTTAAAGTCGTTCCCCTTCCCTATCATATCTATATGATCTTATTAAAACACGCAAACCCAATAATCCTGCAAGACCTCTTATTAGTTCTGTTGGATATGTGATATATAGACTTTCAAATGGCTTGTCCAAGTCTTGTTCACGGTAGTAGGTTTCATTTCCAACTCACACATAACAAACAACTTGGACTTGGTTAACAAGTTGTCTGGTTTGAAATTATATTTTGATTTTAAACTTGTGAGTTTTGATGTGACAGCTCTGCTCACTTGGGTTCCATTTGATGACCTGTTGGCGTTCTTACGGGATCAACTCTCTAAATATAATTTAACTTTACCTACTAACACCAGAGTTGATCTCATAAATTTGTGCATTAAAGATAATTATTTCAGCTTTATTGATTCATTTTCTAAACAAACATTTGGCATGGCGATGGGTAATCCCCGCTCCCCGGTTTTGAGTAATTTGAAATGGAGTGTTTTGAAACGAATATCTTACCCAAGGTTTTACCCTCGAATTTGGTGTGGTTTAGGTGCGTTGACGATATTTTATGCAGTTGGCCGGTTAACCATGACCAAACTGATTTTCTTGTGGATCTTAATTTGCTGGTTCCGTCAATGAAATTCACAATTGAGAATGAAGAGAATGATGTTCAGCCTTTTTTAGACATCATGGTTCATAGAATCAGTAGGAGATTAAAGTTCAATGTGTATAGGAAACCTACCATTGTGTGCTTGTATGTTCATTTTTACTCAAAATCATCATTTTCAGATTAAGCGGGCAGTATTTTCTGGAATGTTTCTCGGGGCCCTGTGAGTTTGCAGTTCGATTTTTTTGACGAAGAAATAACGAAAATATTTGAAATTGGGAAAAAGCTAAAATGCCCAAAATCGGTCTTAGATTTTGCGTTTGGTCAAGCAAAAAGGACTTTCTACAATCTCCCAAGTCTAAACCAAAACTAACAAACTCGCTGGTATTACCATATTTTGATGGACTAGTGAATCTTGCCCCAGCCTTGAAAAACCTTAATATTAACCCAGTGTTCAAAAATAATAATACAGTCAAGTCCATATTAATTAAGAACTCGCCCTCGTCTGTAGCAGGTTGTGTGTACTACATCCCTTGTAATGAGTGTCATGTGTTTACATCGACCAGACTGGTAAATCTCTTTCCTCGCGTTTAAAACAACATTCATACGTACTGTACTATTCGTACCTCCCAGCACTCCAGGTTCTTGCATTTACCTTCCAGTTTATGTGATCATTCTATCGACTTCAGAGAGGCGAAATGTGTTGTTAAAAGTAAGGGTTTCATTGAACGAAATGTGATCGAATGCGCTCTGATCAAACAAGGTAATAACAGCCTTAATATAAGCCCTGGTATTATGAGCTTCAATACAGCACGTCAATACAATATAGCATCCTTTCAACCTGTGTTTATTTATTTATTTATTTATTTATTTCCATCCAGCGGCAGTTATATATATTATCCAGTGTTTTTGTTTTGTACAGTTATCCTTATTTGAGCCTTTCCTTCGATTTTCTTGTCCCTTTTTATCCATAGGTTCCATACCCTATGTTTACTTGTATGGGGCAATAAGCCTTCTGCACTTTCCTTCATTCTTACGTTGTAGGTGGTCAGGTGACCTGCCCCGGCGGGTATAAGGTCTGCCTACCACGTTTCTTTCAAGCGTGGAAAGAAGAAGAAACTTCTTTCTTTCTTTCTTTCTTTCTTTCTTTCTTTCTTTCTTTCTTTCTTTCTTTCTTTCTTTCTTTCTTTCTTTCTTTCTTTTTTTCTTTCTTTCTTTCTTTCTTTCTTTCTTTCTTTTTTTCTTTCTTTCTTTCTTTCTTTCTTTCTTTCTTGCGTTTACGGGCTCACCGTTGCCCGTACTACATGAACATTTCGTTCCGAGTAGCTAAATCTAAAACAACAACAACAAGAACGTTTCTTTCTTCATTCTATTATGCTCTGATGAACGCGAATTGCACCGAAAACTCGCTTAACCTTCTCTATTTTTACATTTGTTTTTCCGGATATAACTTTATATATAAATTTTGATAATAGAGAATGCTTTAATGTTTCCTCTACTGATTACATGTCACATTTTCCTCCTCCTGACTAGGGTCCTTCGCATGACCGTGAACGGGTCTTCAGAAGCCCAGGAGCTGTGGAAACTTCGGGAAGGAGCCAGTTGGGGCACCGACACGTGAGTCATGCTTCAACACACACCTCCTGAGATCATGTTAGAGCAACACCTGTGTGTCGCTCCACTTACTGTGGGGGAGACTGACTTGTGGGATTTTCATGATTTATTTTAATTACTATTATTAATTAATATTATTTTAATATTATAATATTATAATAACAATAATAATATACTATTATTAATAAATGATTTATAATTTATTTCTATAGTAATTTATTTCGTTATTAATTTATTTATTTCGATGGCTGAATGAATGAAATCTAGATAAACCACAAGTAGTTTCCCTTCATTTTTTTTGGGGGGGAGGGGGGGTTATTATGTGTTCAATCAAATCAAAGGTAATCGATTGGTAAAAATTTGTTACTACAGGTAAGTCTAAGATTTCAAGAATAGTTAGTATGGAGTTGTATGTCAGTTTAACTGTTTTGTAGAATGCAGCCGGGTTAATAGGCAATAGACACGTTCAGAACACGTAACCTGAAACTCCTCATGGATCGTGCCTCACGAGGCACGCGCCGTCGCTTAGGAATAAAGTTAACTGCAGAAGTCCTATTGGCCCATAAGCTGCGGCAGCTTTTCAAAACCCCCAATCTCATTCATATTCATGCCCAACCCACGCTTGAAACAATCAAGGGATCCTACTTTAATTACGTTATGCGGTAGTTGGTTCCACAAATCAACAACCCAGTTACCGAACCAGTATTTACCCAAGTCTTTCCTAAATCTAAACTTATCTAATTTATACGCATTGTTTCGTATTCTGTCTTGTGTTCATACTTTTAATACACTATTAATATCCCATTTGTTATGTCCATTCAACTACTTGTACACCTCTATCATATCACCCCAAATTCTTTGCCTTTCGAGAGAATTTAATTTAACCTTTGTCAATCTTTCTTCATATGTCAGATTAATAATTTGGGGGATTAATTTTGTCATCCTATGCTGGACGCGTTCATGTGAATTTATAACCATTTTTTTTTTTTTAGTACGGTGACCAAACCGAACTGCATTATCTAAATAGGGCCTAATTAGAGTAAGATAAAACTGAAGAACACCACCAGATGTCTTATTACTAACACTTCGATTAATGAATCCCAGTGTCCTATTTGCCTTCTTAAAAACATTTATACATTGATTGTTTAGTTTTCAATTCTTACTAATCATAACTCCCAAATTCCCTTTGCAATCTGACCTCGCAATTTCATCCCCATCTACCTCGTATCTTGTAACTCTATCATCATTACCTAGCCTCAAAACCTTACATTCTTGAAGTGATAGTGAGTCGTGTTCAGTATTTATTTCCCTCCCAATTTTTGTATTATTGGCAAATTTGCAAATATGGTTGCTCAAACTGGAATTTAAATCATTTATATATATTATGAATTACAGAGGTCTCAGGACAGAGCCTTGAGGCACTCCACTTACAACATTTTCCCACTCTGACTTAACCCCATTTATACTAATTTTGTTTCCTTTGGGATAGCCATACCCTAATCCAACTTAGTATAGTAACCCCCAATACCGCGAGCCTCTAACTTTTTAATGTCTTTCGTGTGTGTCACTGCATCAAAGGCTTTGCTAAAGTCAAGGTACACAACATCACAAAACTTCCCACTATCAACTGCCTCAACTATGCTAGAATAAAATTATATCAAATTTGTTAAACATGAATGGCCATTTGTAAAACCATGTTGGGAATCATTTATTATTTTCTTTTTCAAGATGGAAACGAATAGTATTTGCAATTATCGATTCAGGTAACTTTCCCACAATAGACGTTAGGCTAACCGGCCGATAGTTTGACAAGTGATCTATCTCCTTTCTTAAAAATTGGTACCACATTAGCAGCCTTCAACGACTCTGGCACTCTGCCTGACTATAATAACTAATAATGCACCAGGTAATTTGTTGCTATTTTTTTTGTTAATGTTTCCTCCCTCTCAAATCCACCTGCCAAATAATTACATCGTAATACACAACAACATATATATGGCAGCTATGTCAGGAGGGAAAATATTATGGTAATTAAAGCTTTTAAAGCTTACCCATTCCGGTAGCTTGCCACGCTTTCTAACCGATCAACATAAAACTACATAAATGACCAAGTGTGCACAGTTATATCAAGTTAATCGGATATAGAACACTTCCCAAAGACTAGCGAAATCGTGCTGATGATTGGTGACTCTGGTGAAGTTTCACTTCACCAGTTTGAACTTCACTTGGTGAAGTTTCTCTGGGCACTTGAGCAAGGGCGTTAGCTGGGAAGACTGTAATTAATGGTCTCTCTCCTCCCCGTGAGAAAGGAGGGACGTGCTTCCTCGACCCCATCAAGCAACACTTTGTGTGATCGGTTCAATTTCCGCCCATTTATGGACAATGGCCCCTCCGTGGTGTCGCCTTGTCGTGGTGAGGGGCTCACGTACACCTCCCTGGGATCGGTGAGGGTTGCCTTTGGCCCCCGTCTCCTGCCCCTCTTTGGGTGGTGTACGTGCAGAAGGGCACCATGCAGGAACCTTGTGAGCTATTGGACCGCCCGCTGGAGGGGTAGCCTGTGAGGGGCCGCCGTGAGTGGATGGCGGGGTGTCTAGGCTGGGGCGATAGGGGAAATGGAGTCTTAGCACCATTGTGGAAGAATGGACGACGTAGTAGGACTCCCCTGTTGAAAAGGGGGAGCACCGCTGGGGACGACGCACCCTTCCTGCACTGGCCCATGCTCGATCTCCCTGGCTGCCCTGGTAGGTTGTATCCCAAGGTTCCAGGCCCCAAGTTTTTAGAACGACTGCTGAATGGATGACGACACGACCTCTCTTACCCAGTCGCCCACCCCAGGCTCATGGGGTGGGCGACCAGACCCCTGGGTCAGACTGTGATGGAAGACTGGGCTCTGTAGCCCCCCCCCCCTCTCCCGCTACATTGGGCCCAGACCGGACTACTCCCTCCCACTCCCCTCCCTTCTCTGTGGTAGGGTTGAGTTCCAACCCCTCTCTGGTGACCGTCTCGTCCCCTAGCACGGCTCCATCTCTCATTGTGACTACTGCGCACTATGACCCCTCTCTCTCTCTCTCTCTCTCTCTAGGGGTTCTCATCGCCATCCCCGCCACGGCCTCTCTCGTACTGTAACACCATAAAGGTGTTTTGGTTGTGTTTTGTATTCAATATATACATAGTACATGCGTCAGTCAGACAAAATTTTGAGTGGCATCAGGGTGTCTGACCCATACTCATACCTCTAAAGTGTTAATGACCACAAGTTGACCTGTGGTCAGGTCGTGTGATTTCACCTCGCTTCTGCTAAGCCGATAATAGCCGACAGTTGGTGGTGTCTTTCCATCAAACAAGCTGCTGGTTAATGTGTGGCTTGGTAGATGGCCTGGGGCTATTTACTTGTGGGTGGAGTTTAGCTCCCACTTTCGCAATAAATACCCAGGGAACTGTACACTCGAGAGCAGAGTATAGATAGCAGAGGATCGGCAGACGGGAGAACATCAGCAGACAGCAGCCGAGACAGTCTATCGGCCGGATTCTGCCTGTCAACTGTAGACCCCTCCCCCCCCCCCCCCCTTTCCTCTATTCTGCTTAGGCTCAGTCCTTGGTGAGTGAACGTTAAGGTGACTTAGTTTGTGTTTTCCAACCGTTAAGTGTTGTGTGATTATCAGGGGCAGACAGCTGTAGTGTCAAATGCCCAACAGACCACTGGAACATTATCTAACACAGTGCACAGTTACAAACCCATTAAGATTTCAACTTAGATTCAACAGAGCAGAAGTAGTTTTTAAGCACATATGGCAAAATCTTACTGAAGCGACCATACGAGTCATAAATACTCATACTCCGCCCAAGTAAAACAGAAACAAGCAACACTTAGTGGGCCAGCCAGAGGCTTAGGGTCCGCACAGGAATATCCCTGCAAAAAAAAAAAAACAGCTGTAGTGTCCTCAATGTCTTGTGTAATGACTCACATTGTATAGTAATCCTGACATAGTAAACTGTAAGTTAGATTGCTTGAATTATGATACTCATCATGTTAAATATAACTGATGAATTTATTGTTTAAATTGTCTTTAATTTTGTTCCCAAGAGCTTTATGAGTTGAGGCGATAGAGCCGCAAAGTTTACTGATTTTATACGAGTACATGGTTAGAGTTGGTATATGAACTACTTGGGTAATTTTGTGATAGACAAGTTCCATTCCTTTTCTTGTATGTACTGACTTAGGGTGGATGGTGGCAGCACTTTTTCTGCTTCTACTTATCTACCTTTCTACTGTCTTCCATCTTCTACTTCCCAGTGATCCCATTCTCTTCCTCTAACTTTCCCTTTCCCCCTTGACCACTCCTTCTTCACTCCTCCCTCCTACTTCTCTACCTGACACTCCTCTCTACTCCCAATACTCCTTACTCACACCTCCCTCGCCCCAACCCTCACTCATTATCTCATTATTCCTTTCTTATCATCTTTCATTTCTCGATACGTTACAGCACGCTTTCTTTCCATACTAATTCGTACCACGCCATGTTTGGTCCTGCTACATGGACTAAGTACTTTGATCACCATCATTTAGATTCTACTCCTCCTGTCGATTTCTACTTCCATAGGCACCTTGTTGATTCAGTAGATGCTTCTGTTACTTTTAACCCCACCCGCATGTGTGTCGTTGCTGCCCCTTCTCAAGATGCAGCTACCTGCTTGGCCGCTTTGTCTTGCGTTGGGAAGATCCCTGTTTGGGTCTCCAACAACGCTCGGTTAAATACCAGTGTTGGCACTATTCTCCTCTCACTCCATGTTGCAACCGGTGTTAGGAATCTACAGGACTGTCACGAAGATATTCGGCATATCCTCGAAGCCCAGGGCCATTCTGTCCTCCAGGTGGACACGTTTACTCGTGGCCGATGTCGTCTGCCCCTTTGGGTTGTGAAGATTACCTTTGATGGTCGGACACCTCCGCCCTCTGTTATTCTTGCTGGTGCCAGATGCTTCTTTCAAGAGTACATTCCCTC